TATTTTGAATTATAATACCATTCATGTAAACACATATTTTAAGCAATTGTGCTTTTATTTTTACTTTAACCCTTTACCCATTCAAATTCACATGTGATTCAGTAATCAATTAAAGTTATATTAAATAAAAATTTGATTCAAGTCATTAAAATTATATTTTTAAAAAAATCCTGTGATTACTCTGTGAATTATAAGTTATAAAATTTTGTAATTAATAATTTATTTACAATAAATAATAATATAAAAAATACATGTAAATTTACAAATGCAGAAATATAATATATATATTAAAATTAAAATAATAATGTTTATCACACTATTGTGTATTTACAAATTAAAAGATTCTATTAAAATTTGATATTACCAATGAAAATTATTAATTATAGGTATGTAACAAGGTGACATTACCAAAAGGTACTATTAAAGATGGCTGCTAATGAAATGTACTAACGCATTATGATAGAATTCAAAAGTTAGCATGGGATTTTTAAAAAATACATTCGTTAATACTTTTTTTACTGTCTAATCAAAATCACTTTCATAAATATTCAAACCTTTTAGCACAGTATTCTTGTAAAGTGAATTCTCTAATACTTTTTTCCTTTTGTTCTAAGATTAAATAACAAAGTCGATGTTCTTTTACAAAGTGCCTTTGCTAATCAATCTACTGATCAAAAGAAAGATCTAGGCTAAAGTGCTAGTTAGCATGGGGTCTCTGCTTATAGGAAGATATTCGTATAATTGGCTATTTAATTCAATTTAATTTTATATTATTTATAGTTTAAAGTACTTTTTAAAAAAAAATAAAACTAAGAAAAATAAACAAAAAAGAAGTATATAGAAAGTTTTATAAGGGTTGTAGGACTCTAGATTAAAAATAATCAAAATCATTTCTGGTTTTAGAGAAGGTAGCATAGTAGTACTTCTTAAAGATAGGTTATTACCATGCTAACTTCTCTAAAACCAGAAATAATTTTGATTATTTTTAATACTGGAGTTCTACAACACTAATAAAACTTTCTATATACTTCTTTTTTGTTTATTTTTCATAGTTTTATTTTTTTAAAAAGTACTTTAAACCGTATAAATAATGTAAAATTAAATTGATTTAAACAGCCAACCATATGAATATCTTCCTATAAGGTCTCTGCAAAATGCATTCGTTAATCTTTTTTTTCTATCATCTGATCAAGATTATTTTCATAAAGATTCAAATCTTTTGGCACAGCATTCTTGCAAAGTAAATCTACTAATGCTTTCTTCTTTTTGTTCTAAGATTAAATCACAGTTGTTTTTATAAAGCACCTTTGTACCTATTTAAAATCGTTCAATCTACTAGACCAAAAAGAGATCGATTCTGGCTGTAAATTATTTTTGATTATGTAAATGCAGAAATCAAAAAGATAAATGTAAGACAATTACCAAATTTTACCTGTGCATATCAACAAGTCTGGGAGTAATATATTTTTTTTTAACATCAATTACAATAGCCTCATCTTCACTTGAAAGATTCTGTCCAATAGCATGAATCAATTCATTTTTTGAGATAAGATCAGGCTAAAGTGCTTTGATCTTTTCTACTACACTAGCAGCTTTTATATAGAATACCGGAAGTTTGAAATATTTGAATGTGTTTTAGACTATACAACTTTAATTTCTTGGTTTTATAACATTAAACTTTTAAACTAACCCGGCTGACCGGTCAGTTTTTTTTTATTTCATATAAAAATTTTATAAAATTTTTATAAAAAATTTTTTAAAAACCACCCAGCTATTAAAATATAAAAAAAATTTTTTCAATACCTTCAAATTTGGACCCAGCCAGGTTACAAAAAACAATTAATTAATTTTGTATAGCCTTAAATATTTGATGGTTTGGTATCAATTAATTCATTAAAATATAATTTGCTTAAAAATTTTTTGTGGATAGGGTTAGTATATGAGCTACAAAGTTAAAAAATGAAATAAAAATAAGTTATGCAATGAAAACTGGTTTAACTTCCTAATGGTTTTGAATTTCATTATCATCCTGTAATCTCTGTTGTAGTAGATCATTTATCAAGATATAAAATTTAGAAGCATTTAGAAATTAGCATTAGGGATATGCAAAATCAATTAATATTCTAAATTTGATTGGTTAATTATTGTAATACGTAGAACAATCTAGTAAAGAAATCTAGAATAATTTGATTGATGATCATTGCTAAATATAGTATAATCATCAATCACCAAATATGGTAAAATCTTTGACTATAATTTATATATAAATCTTGTATAACCTGTATCATATAGCTCTCCAGATAACTGGTGAATCATCTATTAAACAATAAGCTTTACTAATAATACTATAATAAAAAATAAACTTAAAAATAAATTATATAGTCGTATATTGAATTTTATTGATTTGATTGGTTGACAATCATATTTTTGATCACAGTTTGATTGATATTTCATGAAAATATCATATTTATTGATTTGATTGGTTAATTATTATGTTTTGATCATATATGACAAAATCAAATTTTTGTATAAATCTAACCATATGCAAGAGAACAGTCCTGAACTATTCTCAAAGTTTTGTCATAATTCTACTTCTTTTGCAAAACTGGTGCATCCTTAATATTGCAGATTATTTTATCAGATTTAAAATTGGTTTGTTCTAGATCTGGCTAAATGATCTGCAAATTTGATCAGAATTATAAATGATAAGTTTCTCTATATATCATATGATACAGATCCACTAATATAATGCAGATCTACTGATATGATTGCATACTGAATTATGCAATGATTATTATTTTCATAAAAACCAGAAGATTAAAATTTTGCATCAACTAGCCAGTTAGCTAAGCTTCTCAGGTTAGTTAATATTGGTCATATAGTTATAGCCAGCTATAACTATAGCCGATTCCATCTCAAGGTGGGCAAACTTAATAATTACTAATCATTAGTGAAGCTTATTTCTTATATTGTCAACCTATTTTATAGAATATACAAAACATGAATATGCAAGATGATTATATCATTAGTTAAGTATTACATGTTTATATCAGAATAATCCAGTCTGATATTTTAGTTAAATTTAGTTATGATTTATTATTGTTAGCATTAATTAAAATTATTAAAATGGTATATACGAGAATCATTATAACAGATAAGCAGTTGAGTTTGTGCGATGACTAGTGAGAATTAAAACTACGTATGCTTTCTAATGAATTGGCCTTTTCTCACAATATTAATTATTAAGTTAGAATTACTATATACAGAAAGTCATTTAGAATCATACTCCTCCTGTAATCTTGCTTATGCAGAATTGGTTCTATTCCTGTTGCTATTTTCACGTGGCACATTGTTCTCGCTTAGCATCTTTTGATCTGTTAACTTTTGTCAACTCAAATAAAATTATAATGGTATAGATAAGCAGATCTGTATAGTACAGGCTCAAATCAACTATAATTTCTAAGCCTAATAAGTATAGTTTATAAATCAACCTGTATTATATGGATTTGTTTTCTTATACCATACCAGTATATGATTTATTAATCGAGTGTTAATATACATCATAATTGTATCGATATTTTAATTGTAAATAGACAGTATTAGTTATGGAAAATTTTTTAACATAGTATTACATTATGATCACCAATGATGCCATTTTTATTGTTTGTCATGGAACCTGTCTCTTCTATCGAACAAATAACTTCTATGGCCAACAAAACTTTCGTCTAATTAGTACAATATGGGATGGGTCACAAAGCAAGTCACCTAGCTGTCATATAATCAGACTTAGAGAGTATCATGTTCTTTCTCACTTTCTTCTTTTTTTCTCTTTTTCTTTTTTTTTTTTTTTTTTTTTTTTGGATGAGGTGGGGGGGATCACTGGACACAATGTTGAGCAGAAAAATTCAAGAACAAAGGCCAAGGTAAATTATCAAGTTACTTAAATATTCAATTCCAGACAATACAGGGCTCGTGATCTAACTTCGTTCACAAGCAGGTTATTATTATTGTTCATCATGGAACCTGTCCCTTCTATCGAACGAATAACTTCCATAGCCAACAAAACCTTTGTCTAATTAGTACAATATAGGATTGTTGGCAAGGATCATTCAAGATTAGAAAACAATTTAACAACACTTATTCCTTTTAATTTTTAATGTTTACTAATATTTACCATATCTTGTTTTCTTTATTTACTTAACAATTAAAATATGGAGGTTCCAGCTCTTAATAGTGGATACTATCCCTTACAATTTTAGCCAAAATTTTCAAACAATAAATACTATCACTAATCTAATTAACTATTATATTATCCTTTATTATCACTACATATTTTTAACTTCTTTTTTTTTTTTTTTTTTTGGTTCTAACTTTAAATAGTGGACCCCGATTCCCTTTTCTTTTTTTTTTTTTTTTTTTTTTTTGGTTCTGACTTTAATAGTGGACATCGTTTTCTTCCTTTTCCCCTTTTTTCTTTTTTCTCTTCTTTTTTTTTTTAAAAAATATTTTAATAGTGGATACCATTCAAGTTTCGAACCTCCCCCTTTTTTTTTTTTTCTAAAACCCTATTTTTCTAGAGACTCTGGTCTTCACAGTGGATACGGTCCTAGGTATAACATAACAGCTTTTGAGTCCTAACCTCCAATTGTTCAGATTTGGGTAAGGTTTATACCTGCTGTCATTGCAGCTGTAGCTTCTTAAAATTCACAACGAGTGCACTGTAAATCTGCCATTCAAGCCTGTGTACTCAGTGAAACTCTTTATTATTGAACCAACTGCCAAGGCTGAGACCTTCTTTTATTGCTTAATAGGAATAGTGGTGCCTCCATAGTTGTCTTTGGTCAGATTTCTAAGTATTGCTTCAGTAGCCTTACTGGACAAGAAAACGAAAAGGGAAGAAAAAGACAAGAAAATGAAAGAAGAAGAAAAAGACAAGAAAACGAAAGGGGAAGAAAAAGACAAAAACCAAAAGAGGAAGAAAAAGACAAGAACCGAAGAAAATGAAGAAAAAGACAAGAAAACGAAAGGAGAAAAAAAAGACAAGAAAACAAAAGGAAAAAAAAAAACAAGAAAACGAAAGAGAAGAAAAAGACAAGAAAATAAAAGGAGAAGAAAAAAACAAGAAAACAAAAGGGAAAGAAAAAGTCAAGAAAACAAAAGGAGAAGAAAAAGACAAGAAAACAAAAGAAGAAGAAAAAGATGAGAAAACGAAAGAGAAAAAAAAGACAAGAACTGAAAGGAACAAAGAAAAAGACAAAAACCGAAGAGAACGAAGAAAAAAACAAGAACCAAAAGAAACAAAGAAAAAGACAAGAACAGAAAGGAACGAAGAAAAAAACTGAAGAGAATAAAGAAAAAAAACTGAAGAGAATAAAGAAAAAGTAAAGTAGAAGAATAGGAAAAAGAGAGAACAAAAAAAAAGAACCGAAAAGAAAACATGAAATAAAAAATGAAAAGGGAAAAAATAACGAAAAAAGAAAAAAACGAAAGGGGAAAGAAAAAAAAGGAACAAAGGGAAAAGAACAAAGAAAAAGAGACGAAACAAAAAGAAAACAAGAAATAAAAAATGAAAAAGTGAGAAAAAGAAAATAAAAAAATAACGAAAGAAAAAAGAACGAAAGAAAAAAGAAAAAAAAAGGAACAAAGAAAAAAGAACAAAGGAAACGAGACGAAAGGAATAACAAGCAAAGAAAAAAAAAATAAAACTGAAAACGAACAAGAAACGAAAAGAAAAAAGAAATGAAAAGACTAAAGAAACAAAAAGACTAAAGAAATGAAAAGACTAAAGAAATGAAAAGACAAAAAAAAATTATTGGTTTTAAAATAAAGAAATAAAGAAAAAAACAAAAAAAAAACTAAATACAAATCTGTTCAAAGCAAAGCAAAAAGCAAAGCAAAAAGCAAAGTGAAAAGCGAAGCAAAATCAAAGCGAAAAGCAAAGCAAAGCCAAAAGTAAAGCAAAAAGCAAAAAAAAATCAAAATGAAAAGCAAAGCAAAAAGCAAAAAGTGAAGCAAAAAGCAAAGCAAAAGCAAAACAAAAAGCAAAACAAATAGCAAAACAAAAAAAAAAAAAATTACAATCTATGATCTACTTATATGATCACCAATTTAAAAAATGATTGGTTGATCATATAGAGGTCACCATCTATAATTTTCCTTTTTTTAATATGTTAAATAAGTAATTTTTTTTTGAATATCAAATGATTGACTTATTTTTTTATATGTCAAATGATTATTTTTTTTTGTATGTCAAATAATTAACTTATTTTTTTATATGTCAAATAAAGTAATTTATTTTTTATATATTAAAAGATTATCTTATTTTTCTGCATGTCAAATAACTAACTTATTTTTCTGTATATTAAATGACTAACTCTTTTTTCGATATGTTAAATAACTGATTTATTTCAAATGACTAACTTTTTTTGTGTATTAAATAATTGATTTTTTTGTTTGTATTAAATGATTAATTCTTTTTTTTGTATATCAAATAATTAACTTTTTTTTTTGTATTTTAAATGATTGATACTTCAAATGACTAACTTTTTTTTCATGTATTAAATAATCAACTTTTTTTTTGTATATTAAATGATTAACTCTTTTTTTATATGTTAAATAACTGATTTATTTTTTATATGTTAATGTTTAATTCTTTTTTTGTATATCAAATGAATGACTTTTTTTTTTGTACGTCAAATGATTAATTTTTTTTTTGCATATCAAATGATTTATTTTCTTTTTGTATGTCAAATAACTGACTCTTCTTTCTATATATCAAATAATTAACTCTTTTTTTGATATATTAAAAGAGTAACTTTTATTTCGCATGTCAAATGACTGACTCTTCTTTCTGCACATCAAATAATTAACTCTTCTTTTTGTATATCAAATAACTAACTTTTTTATTTCTGTACATCAAATGACTAACTTTTTTTTTGCATATCAAATAATTAACTCTTTTTCTGCATATCAAATAACTAACTCTTCTTTTTACATGTCAAATTACTATCTTTTTTTTTGCATATCAAATGATTAACTCTTCTTTCTATATATTATATGACTAATTCTTCTTTCTGTATATCAAATAACTGTTTCTTCTTTCTGCACATCAAATAACTAACTCTTTTTTTTGCCTGTCAACTAACTTTCTCTTCTTTTTATATATCTAATAACTGTCTTTTTTTTCACATGTCAAATGATTGATTCTTCTTTTCGCATATTAAATAATTAAATCTTTTTTTCACATATTAAATGATTGATATTTCTTACTATCTCTTCTTTTACACGTCAAATAACTGTCTCTTCTTTTGCATATTAAATGACTATCTTTTTTTTTGCACATCAAATGATTGTTTCTTTTTTTGCATATTAAATGACTGTCTCTTCTTTTGCATATCAAATGATTGTTTTTTTTTTCACACGTCAAATGACTGTCTCTTTTTTTACACGTCAAATAACTGTCTCTTCTTTCACATGTCAAATAATTGTTTTTTCTTTATATGTCAAATAACTGTCTCTTTTTTTGTATGTCAAATAACTGTCTCTTTTTTTGCATATCAAATGACTGTCTTTTCTTTCATACATCAAATGACTGTCTCTTCTTTTGTATATCAAATGACTATCTCTTCTTTTGCACGTCAAATGACTGTCTCTTCTTTCGCACGTCAAATAGCTATCTTTTCTTTCACACATTAAATAACTAGCTTTTTTTCACATATCAAATAACTGTCTTTTCTTTTCACATATCAAATGACTGTTTTTTCTTTTTGCACATCAAATGACTATCTCTTCTTTTTATATATCAAATGATTATCTCTTCTTTTCGCACGTCAAATAAATATCTCTTTTTTTTGCATGTCAAATGACTATCTTTTCTTTTTGCATGTCAAATGATTGTCTTTTTTTTTCGCACGTCAAATGATTGTCTCTTTTTTTCACATGTCAAATAATTGTTTCTTCTTTCCACACATCAAATGACTGTCTCTTCTTTTGTACATCAAATGACTGTCTCTTCTTTTTGCATGTGAAATGAATATTTTTTTTTTCGCATGTCAAATGACTTTTTTCGCACGTCAAATGACTGTTTTTTTTCATATGTCAAATGATTGTCTCTTCTTTCGCATGTCAAATGACTGTCTCTTCTTAGCACGTCAAATGACTGTCTTTTCTTTTTCATGTCAAATGACTATCTTTTTTTTTGCATATTAAATGACTGTTTCTTCTTTTGTACGTCAAATGACTATCTCTTCTTTTGCATGTCAAATAAATGTCTCTTCTTTCGTATGTCAAATAACTGCTTCTTCTTTCACATGTTAAATGATTGTCTCTTCTTTTGCACGTCAAATGACTATCTCTTTCTTCAGATATCAAATAACTGTCTTTTTTTTCGTATATCAAATAACTATCCTTTCTTTTCGCATGTCAAATAACTGTCTCTTCATTTCATATATCAAATGACTGTCTTTTCTTTTTGCACGTCAAATGAATATCTTTTTTTTTTCACACATCAAATGGATGTCTCTTTTTTTCGCATGTCAAATAAATGTCTCTTTTTTTTGTATGTCAAATAACTGTCTCTTCTTTTTGCATGTCAAATGACTATTTCTTCTTTCTGTACATCAAATAACTATCTTTTCTTTCTATACGTCAAATAACTGTCTCTTTTTTCTGCACATTAAATGACTGTTTCTTCTTTCTTCATGTGTCAAATGATATTTTATCTTTTCTCTTCTTTTTTCTTTTTTTCTCTTTTCTTTTCTTCTTTTCTCTTCTTATCTTTTCTCTTCTCTTCTCTTCTTTTCTTTTCTTTTCTCTTCTTTTCTCTTTTCTTCTTTTTTCTTTTCTTTTCTTCTCTTCTCACTTTTATTCTTCCTCTCCCTCTCTTTTTTTCCTTTTTCCCTCACTCTTTCTTTTTTTGTTTTTCTCTCTCTCTTCTTTTTCTTCTCTCTTTCTTTTTTCCCTTTCTCCCTCTTTCTCTCACTCTCTCTTTTCTTCTCTCCTTCTCTTTTCCTCTTTCCCTCGCTCTCTTTTTCTTTTTCTTTTCCACTCTCTCTCTTTCTCTCTCTTCCCCTCTTCCACCCTCCTTCCTCTCTTTCTCTTTATTTATTTATTTTAAATATAATATACCCTGCTTCGCAGGGTAAATTATGTAAATAGAAACTGCTTTGCAGGCTCCCATGTAGCATTTGAGATGATATTATGTAAACGGAAACCTGCTTTGCAAGCTTCTATGTAGCATTCATAAAATATCACACTCAAATTTTAACAGAGATCCCTTAAAGACCCCGCTTATACAGGACCTTCAAGAGATCTTTGTTAAAATTTGAGCATGATTTTTTTTTGTATAACCAAAACTTGAACTTTAGTAGATAAGACTAGCTCTCAGACCCATGCACTGCTCTGGGGGCTTGGTATTAATTTTTTTAATTTTAAGTTTTTTAAAATTTAAAAATTTATATATATTTTAAAAATAGAGTTTATATATATTTTTTTAAAGTTTTTAATATTAGTTTTTTAGTTTTCTAGCTCTCAGACCCAGGTGTTGCCTCGAGTGCGCAATCTCAATTTTTTTTAGTTTTTAAAATATTTATTATTTTTGGTTATTGTTTAAATTTTATATTTATTTAGTTATTAAATTTTATTAAATATAAGTTTTTTAGCTCTCAGACCCCAGCACTGCTTCAGGAGCTTGGTATTAATTTTTTTAATTTTAAGTTTTTTAAAATTTAAAAATTTATATATATTTTAAAAATATAGTTTATAT